TACGACAGCTTACATTTCCATGTTTTTAATGCATCTTCTCCCAGCTAAACATAAAAGTATTCAGTTAAATATATTACCACTCTCCTAAGAGAACAGATGTTATGAAGATAGCAAAGTGATATAAATAAGCTCTGGGACTTGGAGAAATGCCATATAACAATATCTCTACTACCCAAATGGATAAATCCAAAGAGTTATCTGATGAATTTTATTTCCAGATTCTCAAACAGAGTATTTACTCTAGATCTTATTTTTAAAATGTATTTTATTATATATTTCATTCATAGAAAATAAAGTAATATACTTTAGAAGGAATAAAGAATGAATGCCTACGTAGAGTAGAATCTTCTTTCTTTATGGCAATGAGAGATTGGGTTGAATATAATAATGGCAGTTTTCATTTCCATTGACTTGATCATTATTGAGATCATTCAGTCTTCCCTTTTTGTATCCTTCTTTGCCTAACCCTCCGCCAACCTTTATTCAGTAAAGTACAAGTGATTAATAGAGCATATCCATTTTAATTTTGGAAATGTTTTAAAAGAGTTAATTTCAATGAACATTGTGGGTTTGTTTAAATTTGAAAGCTAAGGGGCTAATGTGTTATAAATCCCAGGATTATATGCATGTTACTATGAAACAAGGTCTGACATCCAAGGAACGAACACCTAGTTGTGAACTTTTTGGCATTAAAAGTGGTTGGGAATGTATATGCTAGAGTGGGCCTGGAGGGAAATCTGGGTGAAGGGATGTGTATATTTGGAAGGTATAGCAGTGGTCCATATGCTTCTGAAATACACCTGCTGTTCCCAGTTATGCAAATTGATGAAAAGATGCCAGAGCTGAGAAGCTGGCTGATGGTTAAGAAATAGCATCTTCCTCTCCTCTGCTTCAGCATGCAGCAAGTGACCCAGAGACTGTTATAAACAGGAAGATAACCTGGATGCCCCATACTCTACCCTAGTTACATCCTACTGCACTACAGAAACACAGGCCTTCACGTGTCTAATCAAGGAGGAGGTTTGGTTTGGTTTTGTTTTGTTTTTCAAGTAGGAATGTGGAGCCTAGGGTAGAAATTTCAGCCAGCTTATAGATCTGGGCACTGGTTTGCTACTCCCTGGCACTTTGGTTTTTATTACCATGGCTACACTTCCCACATCCTGTGACCATGGACATTCACTGGCTTCATGTTGCTTTTTTATTTGAACACCGTACCGCAGTTTTTAAGCCCCAGTAGTTAGGCATTTGTTTGCAGAACCCAATTCCCACACAGAATACATAAAAATCACTTCCTCTTACAAGGCTGCCAACTCGTTTTCTTCAAGGGGCAATTCTGTCACTGCCAAAACCACACTGACAAATAATCTCCCTATATCTGAATTTTAAAATGAAGCCCTCCAGAGGGTTAGGCTTAGAAAGAGCCAGTGATAGCTTACTTCGTTGGACTCATGGTCAATTCAAAGTTCATATCTTAATAAAGAGAACTTCTTTCTTTCTGTTTTGGACTGAGAGAGATAAAATAATGATGAAAGGGAGTTAAGACTTACCTTAATAATTAGGGAGTCCCAATGGATTAGACTTGCTAATAGAAACCCAATTAAAACATATTTTTGAAGGATTTTGTTAGAACTTGTAAACACCCTAGAGCTAGTTCTAGAATGTCAGCTTTATTCCTTTTAAGTTTACAATTATATTTTTGTTGTATGTTGCATACCAAGTAGGACTAGAGGAAATAAGTTTCCATTAATCAATTTTTAGACAGTGCATAAATCTTTAGAGACAGATAGGGCTTCATAATTTCCTTGTAGTCCACATGTCATGGCCTGTCCTTTTATTAGAGAAGCCTGTCATTAATAAAATAATCCACATTGCTTCATTTGTGTCTGAAGATCTGAAAATGCTGTACTTAGTAAGTTCACAGCCTCACTGCCAACAGACAGGCACCTGCCAGGTTGAGAGGGTACAGCCATCTGGAACAGCATGGAACAGGGTAAGGAAAGCTTTTATTTCAATTTGCAAAGAAAGAAATGACTGCATAAAATGAGTGAGATGGGACCAAAAAATGAATGCCTTGTACCCACCTGCTGTTCTTAAACTAGAAATAATTTTGCCCTTTGGTTATTTTCAGGGAGCTTTGGAAAGGAAGCCTATTTCATAAATCCCCATGGCTACAGAGGTTGCTGCAATGCTTATCATCACACCCAATGCCCCAGGATTCCAGTGGACTGTTACATGGCTTGGTTGACTCTGACTCATGGACACATGCTGCTGTGAAGCACTCTGATGTCCTCACTGCCAATAAGCCCAGTATGGGTGGATCCAAGATGAAATGGCTAACTTGGGCTCATTTGCAGGTATTAATACTCTCAGTTTTAGTTAGATGCAAATCTGAAGCCTGGAATGGTAAAGGTTACATATTTAACCCACTGCACTTTCAGTCTGAGAATATAATGAAAAGAGCATTTTATTGACCCTACTCTTAGGATTCCAGGAGCCTTTCTGGGGGGTCTTCATAATGCCAAAACAATGAATGTTCAATTCAGTGATTCATCAGCCAAACTGGTAGTCTTAGTTTTGCTGCCCACAGCAGCAGACTTCAAGACAAGTCTCCAAGTGCAAGTAGCTTGTTTGAGAGGTAATTCCCGGGAACACTGGTGAGTGGGGAAGTAAGACAGGAAAGATAAAGATTGCAACAAAGGATGAGTTTTCCAGCAAGATACCACTGTGGAATCCTGAGGAAAACTTCAAGAGCTAATATAAGAGAGGAATTAGCAAACTACAACTCATGGGCCAATCTAGCCTGCTTTTATACAGCCCATGAGCTAAAAATGGTTTTTATGGTTTTTTAATGGTTAAATCAAAATAACTATAATATTCTGTGACATATAAAAATTACATAAAATTTAAATTTCATTATTCATAAATAGTGTATTGGGACACAGCAATGCTCATTCATTTATGAATTGTTTACGGCTGCCTTCATTCTACAACAGCAGAGTTGAATAGTTGCAACAGAGACCATGTGGCCTGCAAAGTGTAAAATATCTACTATCTGACCCCTTACAGAAATAGTTTGCTGACCTGTGATATAGACATGAACCTCAAAATTATCCCACCTGAGAAGCTTGAGAACTGGAGTCTTTATCCACCAATTCCCATCCATCAGTGTACAAGGGCTGCTCCTAGAGGGCCTTAATTTCCCAGCACTTACAGCCTACCCTGAAGAATATCAGAATATCCAGGTATTCCAAATGCTATGAAAATTCATTCTCAACTCCAAATGACATGATTTCATATTTTCCTAATTAAATGTGAAAATACACATTTTGTAAATTCCTAGTTTTCTAAATTCCTGAGAAAAACTCAATTCCATTCTGGGCCCAAGAGCACAGAATGAGTTAAATGTTTCTGTCCATGTGGCAATCATGAAGTGAACTAAGCAATCTAACAAGTAATATAGAACAGCATTTGGTTCAAAATATGTTGCTTCTGTGACGTGAAGGATGTTTTCTCAATTGACAACAATCCATGTTAATGGGTAAGTTTGTTACATATTTATTCACAATAATACTCTGCTTGTAAATAACTGAAGTCAATTAAACCCGAAAGGCAGAAACATTGTCTAAGTAATTGTAAAGCAAAATTGGCATTTGCCAAGGCAAAACTTGTTCTGGTCCTGGATTCTATATACCACTCGTTCCCAAGATTGTATATCCTCTGCACAGGTGCTTTATAAATGAAGCCTAAATGTAGCCAATTTTATATAGCCTTATGCACTAATTTACTTAGACGGTCAAACATCACCAAATGTTCTTTCTTTAAAAGGAACAATGGCAGCACAGCTTAAAATCCAAAATGAATAATTCAGAGAAGATTAAATTGAAAACAAAATCAATTTTTTTATTCAGAAACTATTTTAAATTCATTTCTGATTACTAAGCACAGTTGTTTCCTCCAATAAAGGTGTTATGTTAAAGGCTCCAGAGTTTTGGATATTGTTTATCTCCCCACATACCAGTATATTATAAAAGCGAGACTGTTTGTCCAGGTCCAGAGTCAAAGTTAGAACAAACTGTATACTTTAATGTTCTTCTGCATGACCCTCTTATTCCATACTGTACATGCTAGAGAACTCCCAGATAAAGTGCTGCCAAATTTCATCATGCCTGTCTAAACTTCCCCCTGCTAATTTGAAAGTTAACCTTCCTGTCTTGGGATTTTCTCACCAACATACAAGCTTCCTGTGCAAAGCTATTCCAGTTTTCCTGCCTTAAGAGGATGATTGGTGACAGCAAGGTAGAAAAGCACTAATCTTATCTACAGAGCCCTTCTATTTTTCTGGCTTGCTTTATATGTTTTTCTCAGACCAGCAGGCATTTTTCCTACCACTATTTAAGGTAGTCACCAAAATTTTTCTCATTCGTCTAACTCTTATTCATTTGATAAATCTTTGAGTTCCAACAATACGTTAAGCAGTATCCCCTCATATCGCCCTGCCACCACACCCCCAACTACCACATACACATACCTTGACTCATCTCAGGTAAAGCAGATAGGAGACTGGAGGAATGTATGCCCTGTCTTGGAGTCTTCCACATTCATTACTAAAGCCACCAGAACCACATGAAAGATCTCCACAATTATAGATGATAAAGCAGTGATATGCAATATTTACCTCCTGGGCCCTGGTTGCCCTTAGACAGCTAAGTAGGCTTGACTATCAAAAGAAAAGTCATTAAACATTACAAGAGATTGAAGTTCCAGCTAAGATTTAGGCAGTATAGCTTTGGGGTTACCATGATGGCTCTGGAAATGGATGACAATTGCAGTTCAGCTCTATGCCTGTAAAATCAGTTTTGTAATCAGTAATTAGAAAAATATTATTGTGTCCTCCATTAGGCTAAGTAGTGTGGTAAATAGCCACAATGAAATCAGTTCTGTTTCCCCTCTCCTTTAAATCATACCTAAATGTTTTCCTTAGAGTTCCAACCTTAGGCTAGTGGATTTACAAAATAGTTTCCCTATTCTTAGTGTACCAGTATTGTCTTTTCCTCTTCTATTGGATCTTTTTTTTTATTTGAACAATAGGCTCTTATTTCCATATTCTTGGAAGGAGTCTATAATACAGTGCACCAAATCTCATTGATACTTGTGAGATCATATATGCCTCAGAATATTAAAATATTAGATTACCTTTTTATTGCTTTTAATTATAAATACTCCTTGTGTTGTTATACAGTAGGAGTAGCAAACACCTGTTAAGCATGCTTTAATCCCTCCTTCCTAAACAGGGAAGGCATTGCTAATCAGACACAGCCCTCTGAATGCAGCTTCAGAATATTTCTCAACACAAAGTTCAGGAAACCTCTATCAAGAAGAAGCCTACTTCTCATTCTCGGTATGTTAGGCTATGAATCCTATTCTTAGGGGTTAATATCAAGAAAATTACTTTTGAGATAGATTTGAGCCCATTTTTAATTTAGAAGGGATGAAAAGAAAGAAAGAAAAGAGCAAATAGAGCATTGCTCATATAAAGCAATGTTTTTCCAAGGAGAATGCTTATTGGATTTAATTTCCATTCCAGTAGATGGATTCTAACGTTTAAATAAAATCTCTTGGGTTTAGAGAGACCTCTTGTGGGTCATTTAGCTCATATCTCAGCACTACCACAAGATAGATCTCATTATTTTTCTTAAATCCTGTCTTAAAAATGAATGGGTATCTAATGAGTCTTTAAATAGTGATTTTACTACCTCCTCTGGACGTTATCTGCCATAACTTCTGTATTCCAATAGCTTCATAGCTTCTGTATTTTTAGCAGCTAGCAGTTATCCTCTAATATTTATTTAAAATTTCCCCACAGCATCACGAGACCATTGTGGCATCCTTCATGTTTACCCCTTCCTTTAACCTTTTAAACTAATCCAATGGGCAGTCAAAGCTGGCAACCACTGAATAAGAAACATGAGTCATGGATGTTATGGATAGACTGATCACCATAACCCCCTTGGACTTGCCAGTCGTTCCTGACCAGTTCCCATTTTGAACCCCACCTCTCTTAACTCTAAAAGCTTGGAAAATGCTTCATAATCATGTATCTGGCCTTTTGAATTTAATACTGTTACTTTGGATCTTGACTTTTCTCACTTGCATGCTTTTCCATTTCTTTGTACTTAGGGCTGCTTCCACCAGGGATCCCTATGGTACTTCTTCTCTCTATTATTCAACCCTGATGCTCACAAAAGTGTTATTCAGATAAATTCTTATAGAGCCTCATTTAGAATGTTTATATTAAAGCATGATTATGTCTAGACTGTGCATGCCCAGGTCTATTAATTAGGGTCCTTATCACCCACAGATGGAATGGTATAATTTAAGTGGGTAGTCTCTATAACAAAAATTATCTTCCCTACTCAGGAGAAGTGCTGGAAATTCCTCACAGGAGAGATTCTCTCTTGATTAATCATAGGGCAATCCAAGATTCTCTTTTAAAATGCTGATGAACTTGAAGGGTTAACCCATTAGGTAAATAATTCTTAAGTATGAATTAGATATGTTTTAGCCCTCTTTCTTCTTGAATAGGTGATAATTGACCATAAGTAATATAGTGGAGTCCTTGGAAGAAGCAAAACTGAAAAGGAAAAGACAGTAAAATTGTGTTGGAAAAGCACCAAAGGAAAATTTTGCCTATTTCACCATGTGGTCATGGGCTAACCTGAAGTCAACTCTCACACCCACACAGGTAAGACTTTCTCACTGTGTTTCTTTAAGGCTAGGTTCCAAATCAATCTCTCTCCTATTTATCAAGTGTTCTTTATTCATTAATCCTACCTTTGGCTGCCTGAGACTTCAAAGATTAGCTTTGTGCCATCTTATTACCAAGACCTAAGAGGCCTTTATTCTTTTTCACTGTCCATCAAATCTCAGCTTCCCCTCAAGGCCAAGGTCATTATGTACCCTCTACAAAGCCTTCTCCGAGACTTCAAAGCTGACATAGTATCTCCTTACTCACAATTTCTTTAGCAAAAATTACTCGAGGGAATGAAAATGAAAAGGAAACAGACTGTTCATTGAGTACCCGGTATGTACCAGGCAGTATGCTAAGCATATCTCATGAGGTATTTCATCTTAATATTCACAACAACCATATCACATAGGTGTGATTATCGCTTATATAATGGAAAACTGAAAACAGAAAGGATCTGTAACTTTCCAAAATTTAGAAAACTGGGTCTAAGATCCCTATCATTTCTCTGCCTGTCATTCCCATGGGAAGTTAGCATACATTGCTTTGTTTTTATATTCTTTTATGTGTGAGGAAACTCCTGTGTAATAGTATTTAATGTTCTCTTTTACTTAAGAAAATGAAGTTTAAAACGTGAAAGGGATTAAGTAAATTGAATTGAGGATTATAGAAACTCAAAAGGGAAACCCACAGGGATTGCTACATCAAGAACTTGCATTTTATGCTAAAATAGTTTCCATTATCCTGATTGCAGCTTTCCACAAATGGGTTACAGGTGTACCAATGCAGGGGTTCCCTATAGCCTTTAGGGAAGCTCAGTGCAGCCTAAAGGAACTAAACCCCTCTGGCCAATTGCCTCTGGCCATGAGCACTCTCCTCTACTTATCTAGAATGTCTTAAAAATATCACTTTCTATGTGTACTATGGCATAGAAAATGTAGATAATTATCCTTCTAAAGAACTACTCTTATAAAGAAGGCTTTCAGAATAATATCTGCTTACCTGTGCTGGCCACACATAACTTTAACTGACAAATGAGACTCAAGGCAAGTGATGTTAGTTATATGGCCACCATGTTTCTTGTAGTTTTGAAACATAAGGCTTTGTACTACAGAGAGGGTAAAATGAAAATGAGGAACAAAGACCTGTTCTTGTTAAAGGAAATAGATCTGCCTGGTAAATTACCCTGCACCTAACCGAGAAAATTGAGAAAGATGTTAATGTCTTGTGTTCTTAATGTAAGCCATTAGATTAGAGCAGTCTGCAAGATTCTAATTGCAAAACTTGTGACCATTCACAAAAACTAGCCAGCTAGCGCTAGGTGGCTTTTAAGTATCTGGATACCTGGAAGATCTGTGGGTAAGATGGATAAAATTTTACTGAAAAAAGAATGTAAATAATTTATTAAGGAATTACTGGTAACAAGTAGCTTAGATTCAGCATTGTGGCACTTTGCCAATGTGTGTGTGTGTATATGTTTTATTACAGTCACTCTAGCTTTCCTTTATTAGTATTTGCATAAAACTATCTTTTTTAACGTATCTATATCATATTTGAAGTGAGTCTCATATATACAGTATATAATTGAATCTTTTTAAAATCTATTCTAACAATCTCTGACTTTTATATTTACATTTAATGTAATTATTGATATTTGGATTTAGGCTTACTGTTATTTGTTTTGTGATTGTTCCCTCTATATTTGATTTCTCTCTCTTTTCCTGCCTCATGTCGGATTAATTGAGCATGTTTAATATTTCATTTTTTTTTCTATTGTGCTTTTTACTGTCTTTTCATATAGTATGTTTAGTGTTCTAGGGATTATAATATACTCAACTTTTCACAGTCTACTCAGAATCAATATTTTACTACTTCAAGTGGAAAAATAACACCATCATATAGGTGCCTTTGCCTGCCCCCCCCCATTTATATTGTTGTTGCCTTTTATGTTATATATCTACATATGTTAAAAACATCAGGAAATGTAATAAATTTTGCTTTCAGTCATCAAATGTTTTAAAGAACTCAACAGGAGAGAATATTGTATTTACAGAGATATTTACCATTTTGTTGCTCTTCTTTTACTCCTGATGTTCCAAGTTTTTTTCTGGCAACATTTCCCTTCTGTCTGAAGAACTTCTTTTAGCAATTCTTTCAGAAAAGGTCTGCTAGCAAGAGACTTCCAGTTTCCAGTTCCACATGTTATGAATTGGAAATCGTCACTCTGTCCAAACAAGTAGAAAGTGGAACAGACTGAAAAATCAACAACTCTTTTTGAATCCTTAAGAGAGGGAAGGACACAAGACTACCCATTGCCCTCAAGATTGGAGAAATAGAATAAAGGGATTTGCAGCTTACAGGAGAAGAAACTCACCAGTGGAAACCACTGCAGAAACTAGTGTCGAGTTAGGGAAACCTGAATTGCAATTACAAATTGCTGGAAGCTCAGTGTTGAAAATTCTGAGAATTAAAACTCCAGGGGGATCTACACATAGAGGAGCCCCTGCAGTTAGTGAGATTTACCTCTAGAAACTCAATCAGGTCCCCATAGTAAATATCAAAGAAAAATCCTCTCAGGCTTCTATCAGGGAAAGGGGAAAAGGAACTATTTTGAAATACACAAGAGCATTTTGTTTTCATAGGAAAGCTGGCCCTCAAGGGAAACTAGTTATTCTTGCTTGGGTAATTTCAGAGCCTAACTCACCTGTGGAAGTAAAATACCCAACTCCAGCCCATTCTACATATCCCATCCTCCTTAAAGGGAGAAAAAAAACCTGAAAAACACTTGTGAATTTCATAGTCCATAATCATGGGCTCACCAAAATACTGAGCCTTAATTCATAGCACTATAAAATGCTTCCCCTCCCACACACCTCACGACCATACTACAAAAGGTCTATTTATAGCAGTTCCTTTTACCTGGTATAACATTTCTAGCTATCAAGAAAAAACTACAAGGCACACCAAAAGGCGAAACACACAATTTGAAGAGGCAGAACAAGTATCAGAACCAGACATGGCAAGGATTTGGGAATTATCAAACTAGGAATTTAAAACAACTTTGATTTATATTCTAAGGACCCTAAAGGATAAGGTAGACAGCATGTAAGAACAGATAGGCAATGTAAGCAGAGAAGTGGAAATCTTAAGAAAGAACTAAAAAGAAATGCAACAAATAAGAGATACGGTAACAGTGATGAAGAATGCCTTTGATGGGCCTATTAGTAAACCATATGGAACTGAGGGGAACAAAACCTCTGAGCTAGAGGATATATCAATAGAATGCTTGAAAACTGAAAATCAAAGAGAACAAAGACTGAAATAACAACAGAATATCCAGAGACTGTGGAACAACTACAAAATGTGTAACATGTGTAATGGTAATACCAGAAAGAGAAGAGAAAAAGGAACAAAGAAATATTTGAAACAATAATGACTGAGAATTTTCCCAAATTAATGTCAGATGCCAAACCACAGATCCTGGAAGCTCAGAGTAGACCAAGCAGGATAAATACAAAAAAAAAAAAAAAAAAAAAAAAACAAAAAAAAAACAACTTGGCATGTTATTTTCAAATTGCAAAAAATCAAAGGTAAAGTCCTGGAAGATGCCAGAGGAATAAAATACCTTACCTATAGAGAAAAAAAATAAGAATTACATCTGACTTCTCAGAAACTGTGCAAGCAGGAAGAGAGTGGAGTGAAATATTTAAAGTGTTGAGAGAGAAGAAAAAACACCAACCTGGAATTCCATTCCCTGAAAAATTATCCTTCAGTAGTGAAGGATAAAGACTTTCTCAAACAAGCAAAAATTGGGAGAATTTGTTGCCAGTACAGCTGCCTTGCAAGAATATTAAAGAAATTATTTGAAAGAAGGAAATAACAAAAACACCTATTTAAATGGCCAAAATCTAGAACATTGACAACATCAAATACTGGTGAAGATATGGAGCAACAAGAACTCTTCATTCATTGCCGGTGGAAATACAAAATGGTACAGCTACTTTGGAAAACAGTTTGGCAGTTTTTTACAAAATGATAAATTCTAAGGAGCACAATGACTAGATCGTATTCTTACCATACGATCTAGTCATTGTGCTCCTTAGAATTCATCCAAAGGAGTTGAAAACTTTTATCTACCCAAAAACCTGCATGTAGATATTTATAGGACCTTAATTGCCAAAACTCAGAAGCAACCAAAATGTCCTTCATCGGGTTAGTGGACAAATAAAATGTGGTACATCCAGACAATGGAATATTGTTCGCCATTAAAAGAAATGAACTACCAAGCCATGAAAACCTTAAATATATATTACTAAGTGAAAGAAAACAATATGAAAAGACTATATACTACATAATTCTACCTTATATGATATTCTGGAAAAGACAAAACTATGGAGACAGTAAAAAGATCAGTGGTTGCCATGGCAGGGTGGATGGAGAGGACACAAGGGATTTTTTTTAGGGTAGTGAAACTACTCTGTATGATATAGCAATGGATATATGTCATTACACATTTGTCCAAACCCATTGAATATACATTAGAAGTGAACCCTTAGGTAAACTATAGACTTTGTGTGACTATGATGTATTAATGTAGGTTCGTCCTTGGTTAAAAAAAAAAAAAAGTACCATTCTGGTGAGTGATGTTAATAATGGGAGAGACTATGCATGTGTGGAGGAAGAAGGTATGTAAAAAATCTCCACATCTTCCTCTTAATTTTACTGTAAACCTAAAACTTCTCTAATTAAATAAGGTGTTTTTTTTTTAAAGATCTGCCATAAATAAATTATCTTAGTTTTATTTTCTCTGATAATGCCTTTATCTTACCCTTATTACTGAAGGATTGAGTTGACAATTCTTTTCTTCTAGCACATTAAAAAAATGTTGCTCCACTTCCTGGATTTCACATTATTATTCTCCTATAAGTAATGTGTTATTTTCTCTGGCTACTCTGAAGATTTTTTCTTTATATTTAGTTTTTCGAAGTTTGATTATGCTGTGTCTGGGCATGGATTTATTTGGGTTTATACTATTTGAGATTCTGCAGGTTAATGTCTTATTCCAAATTTTTAGCCATCATTTCCTCAAATATTTTTTCTCAGAATATTTTTTCTCATCTTCTAGGATTCCAATGATACAAATGTTAAACCTTTAGTATTGTCACAGATGTCCTTGAGGCTATGTTCATTATTTTTTTCAGTATTTTCCCTCCGTTGTTTGGGATGGAAAATTTCTATTCATCTATTAATAAATTTACTGACTATTTCTTCTAATCTTCATTTTCCTATTGATCCGAGCTTGTGAATTTTTTATTTTGGTTATTTTTCAATTCAAAATTTCCATTTGATTCCTCTTTGTATTACCTATTTCTCTGTTGAGACTTTACATTTTTCCATTCATTTCAAGAGCATTATTCTGAGGGGCAAAGTCCAAGATTGTGGTATTAGAAAATTACGAACTCACGTCTCATGGACATACCAAATTTCCAGCTACATATCAGTCATTTCCCTCTGAAAATGACCTGAAAACTAGATGAACTGCTGCTCTCCACAACAAAAGATAAAGACCACATTGAGACAGGTAGGAGACACAGAGACACACTCTTACCAAAAAAACAAACAAACAAAAAAAACCCACCCCTGGTGCAGCAACACACAATAGGGAGAGATTTTACTAGACAGGTGCTTTTCTGGGAGGAGCGAGGGGTTGTTGCCTTACTCTAGTACCTCAACCCCTGGGAATTGCACCAGAGAGATGAACCCCAAATATCTGTCTTAGAAAACCAAAGAGGCTGAGTCTCAGGGACCCAAAGTGCTATAGAAAACCGAGACTCCCTCTTAAATGGCTCATATGTGGTCACACTCTAAGACCCAGTGGAGGCAGGGGAGCAGTTAGAAGAGTGCTCAAACTCTATAGCAAGGTGATTCATTTGCTAACCTAAAACCATCGGCTGGAGAGGCAAGGGACAATTGAAATGCTCCCCAGATGGAGGAGCTGGTGATTGCTATTACTGTACTTCCTATCTAACCTGCTAATGCAGGTGGACAAACTCAGATGTGTCACCCTCCCACCACCCTGCTAATGCAGGAAGGGGCTGAGTGGTCTCGGCACTATCACATTGCCTTGTTGAAATCAGAGTGGGGGTGGTTGCAACATTCCCCTGCTCCCTGGATGGAGCAGGGAGGATGAATGGTCATGGTATTCTCCTGCTCCCTAGCTAAAGTCTGCAAGTGTGAACAGTGCAAAATCCCACCGCCGCCTGGCTAGGGCTGGTGAGCACAAGTGGTCACGGCATTCTTCCACTCCTAGCCAAAAGCCAGAGGGCATAAACAGACAAGGCACTGTCTTGCTGCACTGCTGAAACTGGTAGATGCATGTAGTCAAGACATTTTCCCTTGGCCTTCCTGAAATTGGTGAGCGAGTCTCACTCCCTACATTCTACACCTGCCTTGCTAAAGCCAGCAAGCATGTTCAAGCCACACAGGGGACACCCTTTGATTGCCTGACCCCGGTGGCCAAGAGGGCTAGCATAACTGAGCTCCACGGGACTGTAACAATCCAAAAGATGGTTCTTGGCAGGCTGCCACTGCCAAGGCACTGCACAAACAGCATACTGAAATACAACCCCAGTCTTCCTATGAAAAACTCATATTAGCCTGGAGGTTCAGCCTGAGGGCCTGGCTTCAGATTTCCTACATACCTAGAGGCCAAGGAGGTGCTCCCAGGGAATGGAACCATGGAGACAACACTATCCTTGCGAACCCCTTCGACCTTGCTACAGCTCAACAAGACTTCCCAGAAAGGTGCTTAAATACTCATCTGGAGTCCCAATTTTGGCAATGGTCACCCAGGGGACACCTCCAGATCTCATGGTCTAGAGGCCAGCAGTTATAGCTATTACAGCCTCATAGGACTGTACAAATTTGCAGACTATAAAAGCTACTGAGGGCCTGGCTTCCAATCAGCTTGAAATAAGTACTTAATGAGATTCCTCCCTTTGGAACACTGACAGGTCTTGGTACCCTGTCAACATCAGGGGAATATCAAGAATAACTCAGGCTGACTAAACAATTACAAAGATTTGAGAGACAATCAAGGGCTAGTGCAATGGTGAATGAGAAAGATCCTCACCTATACAAGGCGATTCCTTCAAGACTGAGAAAAGTAGCTGTTTCACCTTAATTCTCCAATCAAATGATATAGGGTGGCTGAATGGATTATAAAAAATAAGACCCATCTTAAACCTAAAGACACATAATATCTATATGATGTCTACAAGAGACTCATCTTAAACCTAAAGACACACAGTTTCTGAAAGTGAAAGGATAGAAAAAGCTACCCCATGCAAGTAAAAACAAAAAGAAACCTGGGGCTTCAAATTTTATATCAGACAAAATAAACTTTAAAACAAAGACTGTAACAAAAGATGAAGGATACTGCATAATGATAAAGGAGTCAGTCCAACAAAAGGGTATAACATTTGTAAATATTTATATACCCAACATGTAAAGATTCAGTGTAATCTCTATCAAAATACCAGTGGTATTATTTACAGAACTAGAGCAAATAATCTTTTATTATTATTATTATTACTTATGCCTACAGCACCTGGTCTTCCTAAGTGATCTCCCATCCAAGTCCTAACCAGGCCTGACCTTGCTTAGCTTCTGACATCAGACATCAGGCTTGTTCAGGGTGGCATGGCTGTAGACCATGGACCATGGCTCCACTGGGGCACAAATGCAGGACCTTCTGGGTGTAAAGCAGATGTGCTGACCACTACAATTGGAACCACGTCCTAGAGCAAATAATCATAAAATTTGTATAAAACTACATATGACTCCAAAAAGCCAAATACTGAGAAAGAAAAACAAAGCTGGAGGCATTACACTCCCTGACTTCAAACTATACTACAAAGCCATAGCAATCAAAACAATATGGTACTGGCTCGAAAACAGGCACATATATGAATGGAACAGAATAGAAAGTCCAGAAATAAACTCACACATATATGGTCAATTAATCTGTGACAAAGGAGGCAAGAATACACAATCAAGAAAAGACAGTCTCTTCAATAAGTGATGTTGGGAAAATTGGACAGATACATGCAAAAGAATGAAACTGGTTAACTATCTTATACCATATCCAAAAATAAACTCAAAATGGATTAAAGGTGTGAATGCAAGACCTGAAACCATAAAAATCCTAGAGGAAGACATAGGTAGTGAGCCTTTTGACATTGGTCTTAGCAATATTTTTTTGGATAGGCCTCCTCAGACAAGGACAACAAAAGCAAAAATAAACAAATGAGACTACATCATAAAAAGTTTCTTCACAGCAAAAGAAACCATCAACAAAATGAAAAGGCAGCCTACTGAATGGGAGAAGATACTTGCAAATGATTTATCTGATAAGGGGATAATATCTAAAATATATAAAGAACTTAACATAACTAAATGTGAAAAAATAATCTGATTAAAAATAATCTGATTCCGGCAGAAGACCTGAATAGACATTTTCCAAAGAAGACATACAGATGGCCAACAGGCATGTGACAAGATACTCATCACTACTCATCAGGACAATGCAAATCAAAACCACAATGAGATATCACCTCACACTGGTCAAAATGACTAGTAATAAAAAGACCAAAAAAAAGTGTTGATAAGGATGTGTAGAAAAAGGAATACTCATACACTATTGGTGGGAATGTGTACTGGTGCAGTGACTATGGAAAACAACATAGAGATTCCTCAAGAAATTAAAAATGGACTAAGCAATTTCATATGACTAAGCAATTTCACTTTTGAGTATTTGAAGAAAATGGAAACACTCAGAAAAATAAATGCACCCCTATGTTTATTGCAGCATTATTTACAGTACCAAGATATGGAAGCAACCTAAGTGTTCATGCATAAATGAATGGATAAAAATGTGAGATTATATACACACACAATGGACTATTGCTCAACCATAAAAAGAATGAAACCTTGCCATTTGCAACATGGATGGACCTGGAGGGTATTATGCTAAGTGAAATAAGTCAGAGAAAGACATACAGTATGATTTCACTTATATGTGGAATCTAAAAACAATACAAACAACAAATAAAACAAACTCTAAATACAGAGAACAAATGTGGTTGCCAAAGGATGGGGGTCAGTGGGTGGAAAAATGGGCAATATAGTTGAAGGGGACTAAGGGATACAAACTTACAGTTTTAAAATAATTCATGAGCAAGTAACAAACAGCATAGAGAATATAGTCAATAACTTTAATAACTGTAATAACTTTGTATGGTGACAGAAAATATCCATACTTGTTGTGGTTATCACTTCATAATGTATATAAATATTCAATCACTATGTTGTACACCTGAAACTAATATATTATGTCATTTATACTTCAATTAAAAAAGTGTTCTTGGAACATTTTAATAGTTGCTTCAAAGTCTTTGATAATTTCAGCATGCATCATCTTGGCATTGGTATCTGTTGGTTGTCCTTTACCATGTAAGTTGAGATTTTTCCTGGTTTTCTGTATGCTGAGTAATAGTAAATTTTGTCTTGGATATTTTGGGAGACTCTAGGTTGTGAAATTCTGGGTCTTGTTTCAATCCTATGGGTGATGTAAATATTTTTTTAACAAGCAATCAAGTTAAGTTCAGACTGCACATTCCAACCAGCTTTCTATGGGTTTTGGTTCCAATGTCAGTTGATTTCAAAACCTTTGCAATACTATTCGGATTTGTCTAATGTGTGTGCCATCCAGTGACCAGTCCCGGATCTGAGCTGTGTTCTACCCCATAATTCAGTTCTCAATTTTTTTTGTTATTTAGAGTCAGATAGACCCACATATGGACAGCTAGGGAGTGAGTCTAGACATTCATAAACAATTTGTTGTTTCCCCAAGCTCCACCCTCTTCAACGTTTTTCCATTACTTTTCCTTCCCTGGGGCTTACTGTTTGGTCTCTGGCCCCAGAAAGATGGGGTTTTAGCTACTATGCTGTGCACTTCCCACTGTTGTACTCATGTTTGGGACCAAACAGCAGGAAACAAAGGAGAGAAAAATAGCAATGGAGGCTCATTACATCCTTTTGGGATACAGCCCTTCTGATCTGATACAGTGGCTCCCACTTGTAGGCACCCATTGCTGTTGCTGTCTCTACTGCTGCTGCTGCTGCCTCTACTGCTGCTCCTAGTGCAGGTTTCCTGCAGTGCAAGAGAACAGAGAGAAAAAAAAACTGGGAGGTTTCTCTAAGCATCAGGAGAT